TTTAAAACAATACAAATCCCAAGCTGGTCCTTTAAAAAATACCTGGTATGGAGTTGAAAGGAGGGGTAGTTTTGGTTCGTAGATGAATTGGAAAGGGAATGTTTTAGTTTGTAGATAAATGGGATCTAAACATTTGAACTGCTGTGTGCTTTTAATATACTGTGTCACCAAAAATGCTTGAGTCCTGACAATATCATTATGCTGTGATCAACCCAGCTTGCTGAATAAAGTTTTCTAACTTTGCTGAGGCTTGTGTTTCTGAAGTGAAATTAGTCAGTATATGACACGTGCACTTGGTATATACTCTGAATGTAACAGGATTCTAGTATTTGGGTATAAAATGGGAGTGAATACAGATAGAGAGAGTCCCATAGCCACCTAAACTATGTGATGGCAGACATCCTATCATGGCAACTACAACAGAGGTCTTCAACCAATTGTTGAATGGTGAGTCAATGTGTCTGTAAATCCTATTGACTTAATGGCCTTACTCTAGTCAGGACTAACAACAGGAGTTAGATCATGCAGTGTAATGTATGAACACCCTCATTGACTGCATCTGCATGACAGAACTAATGCAGTTTGACACTGCTTTAACTGCCATGGCTCAAAGCTATGGGATTCTGAGATCTGTAGTTCTGTGAGATATTTAGCCTTCTCTATCAGACAGCTCAGGTGCCACTTGTTGTTGTTGTTGTTGTGTGCCTTCAAGTTGATTCCAACGTATGGTGACCCTAAGGCAACCCTATCATAGGGTTTTCTTGGTAAGTTTCTTCAGAGAGGGTTTGCCATTGCCATTGCCATCCTCATGATTATTACCTAAAGGCTGAGAAAGTGTGACTTGCCCAAGGTCACACAGTGGCTTTACATGGCTGAGCTGGGATTTGAACCCTGGTCTTTAGAGTCAAAGTCCAAAGCAAAAAAACAATATCCCACTCTGGCTGTCAACAAGCTACAAACCACAGGATTCCATAGGATGAAGCCATGGCAGTTTAAGCGGTGTCGAACTGCATTATTTCTGCAGTGTGGCAACAGCACCTATTTCCCAGGCCCTGTTTTTGGAGAACAACTAATGGTTTTGTCCCAAGTGGATTCACTGATCAGTGTTCCACTTATGGAGTGTTTAAAGCAAGGGTGGAATTGAGCAGCCCTCCAGATGTTGTTGGGTTGCAAATTTCAGCAGTCTTGGCCAATGGCAAGGAATGATAGATGTTGCAATTCAACAGCATCTGGAGGATTATCAATTCCTACTTCATGGTTAAAAGGAAAGTTATTCCCTCAGCTCTGCAGAGTGCAGTGGAGCTTGAAAGTAACTCATTACAGAGTCTGAGTTACTTGTAGTTTGTTCCTTTTTTGCAATAATTTAGACATAACTGTTAGCTTATTCCTGCAGCATAACAAAGGTCAATGTCACTCCTTTTGCAGTCTAATTTAAAGTTGTGGGGAATCTAGGCAGACCATAGCAAAGGGGAGCTGTAGACTTGAGGCAGGTCATGAAAAAAGTCAGCTGTACTTAGAGGGGAAATGTGTTTTCTTTTTTCCCCTGCAAGGCTGAGAATTGTTGGGTGTTGGCATGGAATGTATTGCTACACAGGAGCTCATCCGCTCTTAGTACTCTGTTAGTTCTTCTGTGAGTCTTATTACCATGGTAACTGAGCCACCTCCCTGGTAAGTACAAAATTGAAATCAAAATGTGGTAGATGCCAAGCCACAGACAGCTTGGCTCCTTTTGCATCTTATTCTTATTGTGGAATTGTTAACTCCAGTTGTGGAAAACAAACCACTGGCTGAACAGCTCAGACTGAGTGGATAAGAGAGATGGTCTGGAAATACCGTAGGTCCTATTTCAGGATGAGGGCTTCCATGCAGCAGAATATAGGATCTGGATGTAGAATCCCAGTGCTGATAAATGGTAGTTGCTGCACCTCCTTGCACTGCTGCTAAGTCCTTTATTGCAGCAACAGTGGCCACCCATCATAGGCTGAAGGCTGATAAGAGATCAGTTTCAGAAATTGGCTGAAGGATTCTGGCTCCTGCAGTCCAAAAAAAATATTTTTCTATAATCAGATCCATCACCTCTACATCAAGGTATAAATGTATGCTCCTCTGTATGTTGGACTACAAATCCCATTAGACCTACCCAGCATAATGACTAGAAGTGCTGGGAGCTGCAATCCAAAACATTTAGAAAGCTCCATGGTTCCTATCCCTGACCTAGTTTTATTTAATGCAGGGATGGGGAAACATGCAGTTTCAAGAGCTTGCTGGAGTACAGTATCCATTGTCTCCCATAGCAATAGCAATAACAAGTATGTTTCTATACCGTTTATCAGTAAACTAGCACTCCCTAAGCAGTTTACAATCTGTAAGCC